GTTTCAGAGACTGTTTATGGAAATAAAGCCTGGTCTTTCTCCCTCAGACCAGCTGGTAGTTTCAAACTGCTGACCTTGCAGACCACAACCCAAGGAGTAACTACCATATTACCAGGACTCCATAGGAGGTGGACATTAAAGATGTCCTAAATATCCAACTATTCCAAGATGTTGTAGCACTCCATTTCCCCAACTCCATTACCTCGCCAAGAGGTAAGTCAAAGGCAGGGGCCAGAGCCAGAAGCCAAATGTATCTGAAAGTCAAAGCAGGTCTTCTCACTGCAGCCAAGACCGAGTCAGGAAAGGAGATCACAAAAGGGAAGGCTTTCCGGGAGGTGTGGTTACTGTCTTCCAGCAGCTCAGACTCTACAGGAAAACAGAGTGATGACTTAGTAAGGCCAATGAGGCAGAGACTAATTACACAGCCTGCCTTAATCCTGCTAAGGCCAACTCCCTCCAAATGGGATGCATCACAAAAGGGATTCTGGCTGGAAGGGGCCCTGTTAAGCCATTGACTTTCTTTTTATTTAGGGGGTGGTACTTCTTGCTACTCACTGGAGATTTGTTTTCTTGATTTGGTCTAAAGTCTTGTTCTGAAAGAGTGGGGCCACCTGCAGCCTGGCAGCCAGGTGGCTCTACAGGCCTGGGCTATAGGGAAGCAGGGCAGCCGGCTGCACCACCTCAAAGCTCAAGCACACCGTGGCTGATGAGTCAATCCTGGGTCATCCTGAGTCATGGAAACATGTGAGTCAGAAAAGAACTCAGCTGCCCACAGATGGGCTTTGGGTTCCCACTCCACACTCCCCCTCAGTAACAATTATATGATTTTTTTGTTATATGATGCCTGATAACTGATCCCTTCAACACCTCGTGATCACACAGGTGGTGTGCTTTTTCCATGTGAACTTGGTTGCTTCTCAGCTAGATGGCCACTTGTTTACCTTCAAGCCTTTAAGACCCCAGACACTATATCTTTTGATAGCCAGCTTTCTTCCCCACATTTGC